TTACACGGTGAACAAAACAGACAAAAATCTCTGCTCTCACGGACCTGACATTTTAGTGATACCATTGAGTGAGGGCAGAGGTCCATCCTGGAGAAAAGCTCCTTTGGCTAGGGCCCCAGGTGGTATGAAACATGGAAAGAACTTGGACTTTGATGTCTGTCACAGACGTTGGCTCCTTTTAGCAGTATACATCTTCCCCCTGTGAATTGCAGAAATGGCACCAATTCTTCATCTTTTCCTATATCTATACCCTTTGCCACAAAATTTTGCAGTGCTCTCTCACTCTGATACTGGCCTTAGTGGTGTGACTTGCTTTGGCCAATAGGACATTAGCAAATGTGATGCAAGCTGGGGCTGAGAAAGCACTTGTCTGATAGAGTTTTCCCACTCTTGTGCCTCTGCCATTACCTGTGAGAACATGTAAGAACTAGCCAACTGGAAGAGCCAAGCCAGAGGCCCCAGCCTTCCCAGCCAAAGTCAGACTAGATTAGCCACTAGCCAGCCAACCTCCAGCCATGCGAACAAGTCAACCGAGACCAGCAGAGCTGCCTAGCTAACCACCAGATGTACGAGCTTATTGTTACGTGCTTCTAGAGCATGCAATCATTTGCCACACACCATTCAGTGATAGATCATTGATGGACCCCCCTTGACAAGTAACTCTAAATGACCCATTCCGGTGAAGAAGCAATATCCTTCTTCACACCCTGAAAGAGAGGACTACAGTGGAAACTAACCCCATCCAACACCTTCTCCCAAAGAATCTGGATTTTGAGACAGTGCAGCCAAGATAGGAGATCTTGTTGGAGGTCATTTATTGTGGTGGTGGCAGTACTCAGGTGTGATTATGTCTGCAACCTGATCCTAGGCCCTCCCTCTCTCCTTTGGTTTCTGTATGTCCCCAGACCTGCTTCTCTAGCTACCTATAAATCCTTTGAGCCCCACCTACATCCTTCCAATAAATCCTTTTTTGCTGAAAATTGGCAGAAGTGGTGTCTGTTACTTGCAGCCGAGAGCCCTAACTGCTCCTCCACCAGTTAGAGCCAAATTCAAGTCCCAGCCCTGTGACTTAGCAGCTGATCGCTGTCCAGGGACTTGACCGATAGATGACTTCTCAAGAGGTTCTTTGGCCCTGGTGCCACCCAAGAACCACAAGGAGATGAGGACAACAGCGTCAGGGGCTCTGAGTGCCAGCTCCCATTCCACCCTGAAAGAAAGCAGTTCTCTCTTCTCCCTCCATCTGGGCAGCTGGAGTCTGGCCAGGTGACTGCTCCCTGCTTGGTTCACAGGATGCCCCCATCTGGGTCTTTGAATATTGAGAGGCAATCTCAAAGACAGACAGACAACTGGAGTAGTCACAGTGGGGACCGTGCCAGTGACGTTGTCCTGACCAGCTTGTTCCTACAGTGTGGTCTTGGATCCATTAGCTGCCAATCCCTCTGTTTTCTGAGGCTGGTTCTCCTGCTTTCCTTTCAATCCTGGAATTCACCCAATGTCCTTCCGGTAAATTCCATTCCAGACTCGGTTTCAGTTGCTTGCATCCAAAAACTCTGACTGGCGTGGTAAGGATGATATCCGTTTTACAGAGGAGGAAACCATGCAGGATTGGAATTTATTTACTTGACCTAGACCTCTAATAGGCTAGATTTTGAGCTCTTTGAGGGCAAGGACCATGTTTGATTCATCTCTTTTTCACCATCTACCAGAATAGAGTCTGGCAATGAGCAGGAACTCTGTGCTTGTTTTGGAGAGTAGGAAGAGAAGAAAGGAGGGAGAGAAAAGGAAGGAGGGAGAGAGAGAGGGAGGAAAGAGAAAGATGCAGATGGAAGAAAAGAAAAAGGAGAACTTCCCTCCACCCCTGAGTGGTCAGGCAAACCATCAGCCCTTTCAGATCCGTTTCCAAAGGCTGCAGGAAGCAGGTGAGTTTTCTAGAGCTGCATGCCCAGAAATAGCATAATCCCAAGCCTTCCCCCATCTCAGGGGATGGCAGAGTGAAAAGAAGAAAGGGCAGGTTTTGGAGTCCGATTTGGGGTTTACCCCCATTCTGGTTATGTGACTTTGGAACAAGCCTCAGTGTCCTGATCCAAAAATGAGCATGTGCATCCTTATTTTTAAGAGACATCCAGTGCTCATAGAGCAAGGTGCTGGAGACTTACTGGTGAACAGACACAGACAAAGCCCTTGCTCCCCTGGAGCTTACAGACTGGTCGTGGCTGTGTTGGGGAGAACAGGTGTTAATCAAATGAGTACCCAAGTAAACAGAACATTAGAATTGTGTTGGGGCCGGCCGGGCGGCACAGTGGTCAAGTGCGCATGTTCCACTTCTGTGGCCCGGCGTTTGCCGGTTCCGATCCCGGGTGGAGACACGGCACCACTTGGCAAAAGCCATGCTGTGGTAGGTGTCCCACATATAAAGTAGAGGAAGATGGGCATGGATGTTAGCTCAGGGCCAGTCTTCCTCAGCGAAAAAAGAGGAGGATAGGTAGCAGTTAGCTCAGGGCTAATCCTCCTCAAAAAAAAAAAAAAAAGAATTATGTTAGCACTACCTAGCTGAAGTGCACAGTCTATAATGTTTATAATGGAATACAAAGAGAGTCCTGTAGGGGAGGAAAACTTCTCTCTCTTTCCCTTCTAGTTTCTTTGGCTGGCCTAACAACTAAATTGACATTAGTCAGATTAACGGGAGGAAAAAAATTAATTTTGTAGGTACAGGAGCCCCACAAAGACATGAGAGGCTCCTGGACAGTCACATTATTGAGGTTTATATGCCATCCTGAGCTCAGGAGGAGCGAGTCAGGGTCTGGGGCCTTGAAAGGGAGGAAGACAATTCACAGAAAGATGGGAAAAGCAAATGCGTGGTAAACAAATGTTTCCCATGCCATGCAGGGAAGGCTTTCCAATGTAAAAATGTTATCTTTGGTAATAGCTGTCTTCCTGGTACAGGATCCCTATCTAAATTCTCTTAGGCAATTAAGGGGGATGTAAAAAGCTCTTCTTGAGTCTGATGGGCGTTGATTGTCTTCAGATCAAAATAATCCGTAAGTCAAAGTGACACATTTTAGAGTGGCCTGCCTTGAACCCTGTCAGTTTATAAAGGGAGAATTTGATCTCCTCCAGGAGGTTGAAGAAGGGTCCATGGGGGAATATGAGGGATGAGTTAGAGGTAATCTGGCAGACTCCACAGAATATGCAGTGGTTAAATGATGAGAGAGAACATGGCAAGTTTGAGGAAAAGAAAAAAGGTAGAAGACCAACAGAAACCTGACAGAAGGCAAGTCTAGACAAATAGGCCGGGGGCAGACTCTGTAAAGCGTTAGATACCACAGGAAGGGTTTCCATCTCTCTCCTAATGATGTGGACTTCAGGCTGGTTAATTTTTTTTTAAAGATTGGCACCTGGGCTAGCAACTGTTGCCAATCTTTTTTTTTTTTTTTTCTGCTTTATCTCCCCAAATCCCCCCTGTGCACAATTGTATATCTTAGTTGCAGGTCCTTTTAGTTGTGGGATGTGGGACGCCATCTCAATGTGGACTGACGAACGGTGCCATGTCCACACCCAGGATCCGAACCCTGGGCCGCTGCAGCGGAGCGCGCAAACTTAACCACTCGTCCACGGAGCCGGCCCCAGGCTGGTTAATTTTAAAACTGCAGATGAGAAGCAGGTTCCGAGGACTGGAGTTTGCTTGCCCTTTGTTGGGAAACTTTTACATTTGTAAGGGAAACCTCCATCTGTAAAGATGCCTCCCTCTCTGCACCAGGAGGAAGGCAGGATGGCCTTATCTCTGGAAACTCTTAATGGGGAAGACAAGGACTTAAGTTGGTTACTGTCTGGCAACCTCATGTAACTGATTTCGGGTGGTGGCTTCTGGCCTTTACTTAATCCGATTTGATTCTTATCTAAAAGTTGTGGGACCACCCAATGGCCAGACCCCACATGCACTGATACCATTTTAACTTTTTTACATGTTCTTTCCTTTGTCTTGTAAAGAGATGGCTCACATACCTATGCCTTAAATTTAGCCTTACGCTCCACGCATGTTTGCAGCAGTATCTGGGGCAGCAGCAGCTCCTCCTGCCCTTGGGCCCTGTCCCCACACAGCAGCCTGACTGCCCATGGGTCCTGTCCCCACGCTATTCCACACTATTCTCTAAATAAAAGAGCACTACTGCCAGATCTTGAGAGTCCAAGAAATCTTTCTTTCGACTCCTCGGCTCACCGATCCCACATCACTAAGAGCATTGAAAAGTCAGTGAAGTGTTCTGATTGGGTGAGTTACTGAGTCAGATTTGCATTTTGGAAAAATAACCCTGACAATGGTATGGAGAACAGGCAGGAGGTGGGTCAGAATGGACCCAGGAGACCAGTGTAGATGGCCAATGCAGAAGTCCAGGCAAGAAAAGTTAACAGTTTAGACAAAAGTGGTGGCTTAGAGTGGAGGATTAGTATATTGAGAGAAGTAGGCAGATTTTTGATCAAGGAGGTAAAATTGAAAAGACTCAGTCAAGGATTGGATTGAAGGCAGGGAGAGAATAGACACTACAGATGATTGTCTAGCTTTCTGGCTCCCATAACTGGAGGGATGGTGGTGCTATTTACTGAGTTAGGGCTGGGTTTGGAGAGAAGGCTTTAGACATTTTTAATTTGGAGGACCATTGAAATAGCCGAGTGGAGATGTCATGTAGACATTTAGATAAATTGGTCTAGACTCAGAGAGGTCTGAGCTGGAGATGTGGATGTGTGAGCGTAATTATGCTTTAGATTCAATGAACTTGCCTGGGGAGAGAGCTGAAACTTGAGAAACCCAATATTTAAAGTCAGGTAAAGGAGGATGAGTCTGCCAAAGATACAAGGGTAGCCAGAGGGGTAGGAGGCAAAGCGGAGATAACAGACATTTGTTGCCGTTATCGTTCAGCATCCACTCTGTGGTGAGTGGAATAATAGCCACCCTCCCAAAGATGTCCATGTTCTAATTCCTGAACTCCAATCCCTGAATATATTACCTTATATAGTAAAAGGAACTTTGCGGATATGATTAAGTCAAGGATCTTGAAATGAGGAGATTATTCTGGATTATTCAAGCAGGCCCAAGATAATCATAACGGTTCTTATAAGAGGGAGGAATGGGAGTCAGAGTTAGAGAAAGAGATGTAACAACAGAATTGGAAGTTGGAATGATGTGACCATGAGCCAAAGAATGTGGGCAGCTTCTAGAAGCTGGGAGAAGCAAGGGAATGGATTCTCTCCTGGAACAGCCAGAAGGAACACATTTCTGTCAACATCTTGATTTTAGCTCCATAAAACCCATTTCAGACTTCTGACCTCCAGAACTATAAGAGAATAAATTGGGTTATTTTAAATCACTATGTTTGTGGTAATTTGTTGTAGCAGCAATAGGAAACTAATGCATACCCCCTCTTCTTTTGAGAACGGTACCCCAATTTGGCTCTGGGGAAACCAACCCCACCCTAAGCCTATATACTCCAATGGGGCTAACTCTAACCTGGGGCTCAGGGGTGGGGTATGTGATCTAGCCTAAGCCAGGCTCCCCGCTCTACCCCCCAGCCACATTGATCAATCAGGATTGGGCATATGATCTCAGCCAGCCCAATCAGAGCAAATCTCAGGACTTATGCTAGGGCTACTGGGGAAAAGAGCCTCACTCCTCTGCTAGATATGAACGAGGAAGCATGTAGCCCCGGTAGCCCCTGGCAGCCATCTTGCAACCATGGGAGAGAGTGAGGATAGAGTCAACATGGAAGAGCACAACTGAGAGATGGAAAAATAGAGTGACCAGATCCTAACACAGGACTGTTATTCAGCTGGTACACACCGGAATGGCTGATTGTTGTTGAAATATTTCTGTTGGTAAGTAAATACTGCCTAAACTGCCTGGGAATAGGAGTCATTCCCCCACTGCCTCCCAGCCACCCTTTTTCTGGACTCCCTGGACTTCCCCATCATCCAGTAACTAAAGAGTTAATGCCAGGACCAGTAGGGGACTTCCAGGTCACCCCCTCGGACATCTGTTCTAATGAGTCAGTGACAGTGTAACATCAGTTGTTAAATATTTTGAATGTTACTCCTGTCTTAATACTGTTGTTTGAACCCCTCTATTCAACTGGATCCAGACATCTACCCCTGGATTACTGTTGAGTTACTTGAGACAACATACCCTTTTGTTGTTGTTTAAGCCAGTATAAGTCAAGATTTCTGTCACCTGATGATCAAAAGAGATCCCACAAACACCAGGATAATGTGAGGTCACAGAAGCCGGGGGCCAGTTTTAAGAAGAAGGGGATGGTCAACAGAGTCAAATGCTGCTAAGTCAAGTCAGAAGACTGAAACCATGTACATGCGTTAACCGCGTGAGCCCATCACAAGTGCTCCATAAGAGGTAGCTGCTGTCCGCTGATGTCTCCCACAGCTCCATCCAGCAATATCCATCAAGGTTCGTTAGATTTAGCTGCAGAGAACAGAAAATCCGAAATAACAGAGCCTTAAACAAGAGAGAATTTTGTTTTTCCCTCACATAAAAGTGGTCCAGAGATAGGCAGTAGAGGGCAGGAATGCTACTCCACCAATGTCACGGACCCAGGCTCCTTGTATCACTCCATTCTACCATCCTGGCAAATAGCTTCCATTTTCAAGGTCACTTCAAAGCCAAAGACGGGAGGAGATGCTCACAATGGACTCTCAGAAGTAGACCATGGAATAGCAAACGTAACACTCTATTGCATTCTTAGCACGTCTGCCACTTGCTAGAGTGTGAGAGCAGAGACTTCATCTTTCTTGACTTGTCCCTACAGCACGTGGCAGAGTGCTACCTACGATGGGCAATCATTAAACATTGGTGGAATGAAAGAAGGACACCCATTCTCTTTTCACTACGCTGTGCTGCCTCAGACAGCCACACATACCAACAATATCCCATGTGTATAGAGTTTTATGGACTAAGTTCTTGCACACACTGTAACTCAAGCGGAGTTTGTTGAATCAATGGCAGACAACACCATGTTGAATATGATGGACCCACTGTGAGAGGGGCTCCTTTGGGAGCTGGAATTTCTCCCTCCTCACCTCACTTTTCCTAACCCATCCCGCCTTTTAAAATAAACTTTTTTTACTGTGATAACATAAAATTACCATTTTGACCTTTTTTTTTTTTTTTTGAGGAAGATTAGCCCTGAGCTAACTGCTGCCAATCCTCCTCTTTTTGCTGAGGAAGACTGGCCCTGAGCTCACATCCGTGCCCATCTTCCTCTGCTTTATAAGTGGGACGCCTGCCACACCATGGCTTGCCAAGCAGTGCCATGTCCGCACCCGGGATCTGAAGCAGTGAACCCCGGGCCACCAAATCGGAACATGCGAACGCAACTGCTGTGCCACCGGGCCAGCCCCACTTTGACCATTTTTAAGTTTACAGTTCAGTAGCATTGAGTATATTCAGATTGTTGTACAACCATCACCACCATCTATCTCTAGAAACTTTTCCCCTTTCCAAACTGAAACTTCATACCCACTAAACAATAACTCCCCACTCCCAGGGCCGGCCCAGTGGCGCAGTGGTTAGGTACGCACGTTCCGCTTGGGCCGCCCAGGGATGCCGGTTTGGATCCCGGTGCAGACATGGCACCACTTGGCAAGCCATGCTGTGGCAGGCGTCCCACATACAAAGTAGAGGAAAATGGGCACGGATGTCAGCTCAGGGCCAGTCTTCCTCACCAAAAAGAGGAGGATTGGTGGCAGATGTTAGCTCAGGGCTAATCTTCTCCAAAAAAATAAAAATAAAAAATAACTTCCCATTCCCCTCTCCTCTAGCCCGTGGCAACACCATTCTACTTTACGTCTCTGTGAATTTGACTACTCTAGGCACCTCATGTAAGTGGAATAATGCAATACTTGTTCTTTTGTGTCTGGCTTATTTCACTTGGCACTAAGTCTTCGAGGTTCATCCATGTTGTAGCATGTGTCAGAATTTCCATCCTTTTTAAGACCGAATAATATTACGTTGTATGTATATATTGCATTTTATTTATCCATTTATCCCTTGACAGACTTGAGTTGCTTCTGCCTTTGGCTATTGCGGATATTGCTGCTATGAACTTTGGTGTTCAAGTCCCTGCTTTCGATTCTTTTGGGTGTTTACCCAGAAGTGGGATTACTGGGTCGTACGGCTATTCTGTGTTTAAGTTTCTGAGGAACTGCATACTGTCTTGCACACGGCAGCTACACCATTTTGCATTCCCACCAGCGATGCGCAAGAGTTCCATTTCTCCGCAGCCTTTTCCAACTCTTGTTATTTTCTGGTTGCATCTCATTATGGTTTTGATTTACAGTTTCCTTATGATTAGTGATGTTGAGCATCTTTTCACGTGCTTGTTGGTCACTTGTATATCTTCTTTGGAGAAATGTCTATTCAAGTCCTTTGCCCGTGTTTTTCACTGAGTTGTTGGTTTTTTATTGTTAAGTTGTAGGAGTTCTTTGTATATTCTACATATCAGCCCCTTATCAGACATATGATTTGCAAATAATTTCTCCCATTCAGTGAGTTGCCTTTTAACTCCGTTGATAGTGTCTTTCATGCCCCATCCTTTCTTTTAAGGAACTGACTCATCATTTCCTTTCAAAGGTTCAAAATCCCCTACTCATGTATGTGGCAATTCTGCTTAAAACACCCTCCAAACATATTTTAGAATGACCTAGGAAGTTAAATAAAAAGAAATCCAGACACACTCTGTTCCTCTCTTATTGCATAGTGTCACAATCCCAAGGAAAGTACAGGGTTACACAGTATGAACTTCTTGAAAGAAGAGGCAGCATGGGGAGCAACACAATCTATCAAATCAGGACACAACACTCACTAAGTACTTATTCCATGCCAGGTCCTGTTCTAAGCAATTTTAAATTGTCAAAACTATCCTATTACGTCGACAATGAAATTATTCCCATTTTACGGATGAAGAAGCAGAGACCCAGAGAGGTCAAATCACAGATTAGGTGGAGCTAGAAATTGAGTCTTCACAAGGCGGCCCCAGAGGCCATTTTATTGATCACTACACGACACTGTGCAGGCTTCGGCGTCAGAATTATCTGAATTCAAACTCAAATGACTCACAAGTACGTGATTACAAACCCTTTAGTAATCTGAGAGAAGATCAAACTAAACACAAGATTTTACTTCACACCTGCCAGCAATTTGAAAGTTGGACAATGCCGTGTGGATGGAGGTTTGGGGAAATAAAAACTTGCATGTAACTGTGGGTAGGAGCGTAGACTGCTGCAGCCATTCCAGAAGGGATAGGGCAGGTCTTCATCCAATTCAGTAAGAGTGTAGCCTGTGACCTAGGAACATCACTCCTGGGTATACGTCCCAGAGAAATTCTTACCTTGGCCCATAGGGGAACATCCGGAAGGACCTCCTCACAGCATTGTTTATAGAAAAGGGGATTGAAGGCAACCTAAATTGGCAGGGGAATTGGTCAGTTGGAACTGGTCCATTGCTGGGGGACTAGGTCAGTAAAATGTAGATGCACACGATAGAGGACCAGGCAGATGCTTGCATCAATGAACCAGATATACACAGTTCACCATGGTTAAACTGTAAAAATAATGCTGAATGGGGGAAAAAGAGAGACACAGAATGAGGTCCGTAGACCAGTTTATGGAAATCATGTCTTCACGTAAATTTAAAATGAATATGCACAGAAAATAACATTACATTTTCCAAGGATACATGCAAAGTCAAATATATTTATGGAATGCACCAGAACTGTTGCGGGAGATGAGACTGGAGAATGCCGATGAGAGAAAACAACATGCATTCAGACAGAAAAATGTACAAGAGAAGCGTCTTGAGAAATGGAGGTTAAGAAAAAGGATGTATGCACCCCAGGTCTACCAAGTTATTACTGTGTGACCTTGGATAAGACATGCCATCTCCTTGATACTAGTTTTTCTTGTGTGGAAGATGGGGGATAAGGACCTTCACATCCTGTGTCATGAAGGATGTCTACAGAGGAAGTCAGTGCGGCAGAATGGAAAGTGCACGGGCTTTGGAGCCAGACAGATCCAGCCATTCACTGTGTGGCCTTGAGAAATCACTTCACTCCCTAAGCTTCTGTTTTAAATGATGTGGTCGAGGCAAGCTTCACTGAGAAGGGTACATCTGAGCAAAGCCTTGAAGGAGGTGGGGGAGTGAGCCATATGGTTATCTGGGGGAAAATGCAATTCAGGAAGAGGGCAGAGTCACCTCTATCCACAGGTAATACTGTGAAGTAGTCCTCACGGTGCCTGGCACACGGTGAGTGGTCAGCAAGTGTCAGATATTCATCTCTTTCCCTCCTCTTACAGAGAGGCCAGGATCCAGGTGACCAGTTAATACACTGTTAGCTTCAGTGACAATGGCACTCTGGCTTCAGAAGTTCTTTGAAACACTGCATTCATGTGCACCATCCACCTTCAGGAGTGCCCTCCCTAACTGACCACAGGAGCCTCATCCTGGAAAGAAGTCATTGCTGCTGGGGCTTCAGCCTACATGGGGAACAGGAGAGCCCTCAAAGAAGACTCTTGAAACAGCAAGGCAGGGGCCCTTGCCAGCTACTATTCCCCTTGAGGGATCCCTGCCCCAGCGCACACCAAAGCTGGGACAGTGCCTAGAGCAGCTTGGGTGAAGGCACAGTCACACAGGGGGAGGAGAAAAGGGAAGGGACCCATATTTTCTAAGGCAGATCCGGGTTTGAATACTATTCTGCCACTTACTAGCTGTTTTACAAATCACTGAACCCCTCTGAGCCTCAATTTTCCCATCTGTAAAGTAGGCATGAAAATATCAATTCTGTACAGTGGTTGTGAGGACTCAAGGAGATAAGATTTATGAAAGTGGCTGAAAATATCAATTCTGTACAGTGGTTGTGAGGACTCAAGGAGATAAGATTTATGAAAGTGGCAAGCAGCTGTCTGGGGCTTAACAAAAAGTAGGCCCCTTTACCCCTGTACCGAGTACCTGGGAGGCAGCCACTGTCTTATTCAGTCAGCTCCAGTCCTTATTACTTTATTCATTTCAGTGGGGATGGAATCACCTACCTTTTGGGGAGGATGTGAGGTTTCAGTGAGACAACAGGTAAAAATTGTGCTCCACATAGCTATTGGACCAAAATAGGTACTCCACAGTTGTTTGTTGGATACCCGGATGGATGGATAGATGGTAGGTGGGAGTACGGCTTGCTGGCAGGATGTCAGGGGAAACACTGTTTGTATTATAGGAATACAAGTCTGCACAGAAATCAGGTGTTTTACAGGGAGGTTTTATCATACCTATTTACAGCCTTAGGTCTTAAGCACAGATTTAACATAGATGAGTAAAAACAGGCATAAACATGCCCAGTTCTAGTCATCTGTGACCTACACTTACCACTCCTGTGGCCATGACTCATCTCGATGAGGTGAGGGCCAGGCCTTGCCCGCTCCAACATTCTCCAACTGAGATCACTGTGGTTCCCTGGGGTGAAGGCAAAGAGCAGAGGCAAATGAAGGGTGAGAGCTTCCTGACGTATGAGGTAGCTTAGAAATCCTGACTGGTGATGTTTCATCAAAAGAATTACAACTCAGCTTTTCCTATAATCGCTGGCACCATTGCAAGAAGCGAGAGAAACAAATGAGCAGGCAGTTCTGTCCTGGCTGCAGTCCCACGCTGGGTGATTTCTGCAGTCACTTAGCCCCTCCGAGTCCCATGGTTCCCTTAGTAAGATGAGGAGAGTGGGTCTTCCCATCTCCAAAATGCTCTGATCCTCTGAAAATCCCTGACATCTTCTTTAAAATATGAACATAGAACTTTGGAAGAGTATGTATTAAATTCCTTCTTATTTGTCCCTAAAGAGTCTCCTTAAACCCTTTCAAAATAAGTGCATGGATATGTCAACACGTCTGTTTATGCTACACTCAGAGGAGAGCAGTAAGCTTTGAAGACAAACAGATCTCAATTCCAGGCCTAGATATGTTCAGGATTAAGACACAGTTCCTGCCCCAGGATGGGGAAGACAGACATTGAAATGGATAAACTTTGATAACCACGGTAATTAGGGTATAAAAAAGTTGGACCCTCCCGGCTAGAATGCTGCTAGAAGGAAGCCATTTACCCTGC